CATTAGAGTCAATTAGCCAGGATCCTATTCATTTGATATTTCAGCAAATGTGTAATTCTGATGACAACAAAGTACAGACATTCATCATGTCAAATGACCCCAAAATACTTTCTGCATAAATCATAGATTACTGTAAAATTACAATGAGCATTCATGCAAGGTAAATAAAAGAGCTAGCCATCATGTCAGGGAAGACAACGTTAGGGATATCTTCGTGATGGATACTGTCACTTTTAGAAGTGCTGCAAAGATCTGAACAGATTACACTTTTACTGGACATAGCCGGGGAAGAATCCTGCTGAGTAAATAGACGTATGCGTCTTCTGCTGTCAACATTGTATAGGGATAATGTAATTTTCACACTTCACGCCTTCCCAATTGAACTTTTTGAGGTTTCTCCGACTCCAATCACGTCCCACCCTACTCTATTTTCAATACTTTACAAGAGAACAAATTGTCTTTGCCGTAAGATGAATTCCATCATTTGTCCTGCGTTGGATAGATATATACATCGACACGTACATAATAGTTTTACTAAGGCCAAGCTACTGAGTCATTTTTCAGCTGGGTACATATATGTTTTTGATTCAAGTGCGCAGTAGGCCTACATGTTTATAGAAGTCACACACAGAGACATGCAGTCGGCCAAATCAGTTTATCGTTAGGCGCAAACACTGTCTTGGGGTTAGATTTTTGTCCGTATGTTAGCTGCAGAAATATACTAAATTTAAGTTATCAAAGTGACCCACTCTGTGAAAATGAGTCTTTAATCACCAGAGCAGCTTTTTGAGTCATCATTTGTGTTGAAAAGAGCAAATTTAGCTTTTGTTTTTGCTGTATCACTCAGTTTGGCATTTTGAGGAAAGTGGATGCTCCGTGGTGAAAAAAAGGCGTGGGTTCCTATTGATTTACACTGTGCAAAATTATTCTAAAGGGGTTCTTACTCCAAAGTGGCTCTGGAAACTACTAATTTTCACAGAGTAGGTCACAAATGCTATTGATATGACTGTATGGAGTTGGGGCGCTTTTCCCATCAACAAGCACATTTATCAAGCGGGGAACCAAAGTTCATTGTCTCTTGAAACGAGGACAACATTTAAAACCTTGGAATTACATGTTTACTCACTATAAAAAATTCTTTCGTTTGAAAAATACATGCATTTGTAATATAATCTCATTCATCGGGGAAGCATCACCAGTTACTAAATGATTATATAATCGATATACATGAATTGTCATTGTGACAGATATTTTCAAAAAAATTTTAATAACAGAGGAATTAAAGCTGAGGTTTAACCGAAATTAAATTGAATAAATGTGATTTTTGAAAAGAAAAGATATGATAAAAATTGCACGTTACAATTTACATATAAATTTAAATACATGTAGTAAAATGAGGAAAAATTGTGAAACTACAAGTAGTACGTAGAACGAAGAACGAGGCACATTAAACGCATACGTGCAATGTAAGGAGTGTTTCACTTTAGATGAGAGAAAAAATAAAGAAAATATTACTGCGTCAAATCGAAAATTTAGAGAAAACATCAACCCATAGAACGTCTAAAACGGTGTAAGAATGTTTTTCATCGTATTTGACGTTGTAATATTTCAGTGTCACAACTTTTTTTGTCTATCAGGTCAATTTTCATCCGTCAGGTTTTTTTTAAAGAATAACTACATTGGTTAAAATAGTCGACATTTTAGGGTGATGTCACAAGAGTGGTTTAATTGTAATATTTCTCATTTGAATTTCTTTACTTATTTTCCATTTCCGTCATAGTGTTCGTATAAATTAAAATTATTTTAATGAGGATTTTATTTTAATAACATGGGTATTGTAATGAACCGCATCAATATACTTCTTATCCGTTGAAGCCAATTCAATACGTTATTTGAAGGGGAGATCGCGTGCTGGTTCTTACAGGGGACAAATAGTAGACTGGAGGCCTTTTTTCTTCCCTCCAAAAATGAGAAAGCTCTATTTCCAACCACGTGAGCGTTCACTGATATAGCATCTTCAAGCTGATACGGTTCGTTGGAAAGCCCCGATGTGCCATTTTAAGGACATTTTGATACCTTTAGAAATTGCTACCTATTAATACCAGAGTGATGTCATCGAAGGCAGAAACGTTCGGTATTACTGCAATTTCTACCAAATATTTGTTGGGTGTTTTTCTGTTGCACATTTCGTTCGTTTTAGCGATAAGTTGTTGGCTAGTGAGCAAAGATTTCTCACAAAATAACATTTTCAAGGAGCAAATTCTCCGTTCACAATTTGAACAGGAAACCCCTTAAACGAACAAAGCATAAGTGTAATGACATCACAACTACAATACATTAATTTGTCAGGGGAATATAATATGGCTGATAGGTTTCTTTTAAGAGCACTAGAAAGTTCCGTACAAAATGCTCCTAGGTTAAATCACATAATGGACACTTATAGAGAAATAGATCCAAAACATAAAACAAGCTTTACTAACCTCTGCGATTTGGAATAGAGTAATGGTCGTGAGTATTAAGACCAGTTCATACTTTAGGCGAATGCGAAAGCGAATTTGACAGCACAACAAATTTGAAGCGAAATTTTCCTGAAGTTAAAATGTGCTCAACTTTTGCAAATTCGTAACGCCAATAACTATTTGACCAGACGTCATAGTTTCGTGTTCGTTTGAGCGAAGTATGAACTGGCATTTACGGTCTGAGAATTACCAACTTAAGTGCCCAGAGCTTAATAGAAGCCGAGATTCTGAGCAAAATGTTCTTAATTAAGTGTTCATTGGTGTAAACATCCACACTTTCTCTGCCAGAAAATAAACCAAATCATTGCTCACAGCTAAATGCTAATGCTAAACACATATGCTACATTTTGTGTCGACACGTTTTACTTCTAATTCGGGTTTCTTCTGAGAGTGCTGCTGGGAAGGGAGGACAGTGAAGGCGGGGCTGCGGTCTTTGGTTGCAGTGAAGCTGGCCAGCAATAGGCCTATACCGGCGCTGAGTTACTCGTTATCTTATCGTCAGGTCGAGCTACCACCGTCGCTATATTGCTGCGATACTTGAGCCACCAATTATTACTTAATTCTTTTGTGGGACGGATTATAATCCTCTAAATAAACTGAATAGATCTAAGAAAATTACAAATTTCGTGGTATATTTAGGAAAGTTTTATAAAACCCAATGTGACTGTAAAAATAATTTGTAAATGAATTTGTACACCGGTTTTGTAGAATGTATCAAACCAGTCTTTTTGCGTTTTTATATTTTGTTGTAGTGATAACCACCTAAGATAATTCAAACCGGGAGAGGGAATTGGTAGGGAGAAATTGGCATAGTATAACATCCTCGTTCAATGATGACAGACTTATTCTTGCTCCATATCTGGTTCTATGGCAGAAATCCAAAATTGAGTATTTACGCTGCGATTTTCATTATAATGTCATATTGGTTCGTGGCTTGCGCGCGTCAGTGGATGGTAAATGGGCAAGCCCATTTTATTAATAACCACCGGTGCAAAATATAGCATTGGATTTTCGCGGCTATTTCACCGCCCTAGTCTATGGATGTTCTGAAATCCACTTTAATTGAGTTCCCAGAGGACTGTTGATCCTAACAGAGGTTATCTTCATTCCAACGTATCTCACCTCCGCCGGAATGTTGTTTGTAAAGTTCATCGATGTGAAACCATTAATGATTATACTTGAGCTGTATCCACACTGGAACGACCGATATGTGACCTACGTATATTAGAATATGGCTTAAAATGTCAGACACTTCTAAATAAAGTATGCCTCATTGTCACGCAACTCTTCTTCTCGGCTAGTGGTTCATGGAGTTGGTCTCAGAATATTATGAAGAACCGACAGCAAAGAAAGAAGTCAGCAGCTTGCAAGAATAAATCCTGGCTTGTCGTAATTCATGTTTTGTCTGTATCATATTACACCCATAAATTCACCCGGCAATATCCCCCATAAACTGGGGGTGTTGAACAACTAAATGTATAATCTGTATTCGTAGCAAAATTAACATATCGACAAAATCAAATGGAAAATTGAATGTTAAATCCCTTATTTTCCTAGCATTTTACTTGATACGTTAAACTCCGAGTAGGCTTCTAAAAAGTGAGCAACTTACATTAGAATAGTGCTTATGCTAAATACACCACTTCCATTTGCCGAAGCACTTATCAAACGTCACAACGTTAAAAAATAATTCCTCGACATAATTTGAATAAAGAGTTAATTTTTTCTGCAATAGATAGGCCTCATTACGGCAAGATGTTAAGTGTTTTTACACATTGGAAATCTCATCTGCAGTATTTACACTATCAATTTATGAAGAATTTACACATTTTGCGAATTTCTTAAATTTGTTAATTTGTGAATATAACGACTGAAGTCCAAATTCATTAATCAAGTGATTTTTGTTTATTTGACCCTTTTGAGCTCGATCTGTCCTGGAAATACGCCGATCCTCCAGCACAGAATTATACCGCACAGATTCTACATATAAATTAACCATGTATACATGTATAAAATTAACAACCTCGCGTGATAATGTTTCCCTTTCTTTACATTAAACGAGCATTACGAGTCAGGATTCACCATATAAAACTGGGGGATATAAATTTTGGGTAAGGTGAGTTAGAAAATGTTTCAATTTAAGCTATGGCTGACATGGTTTGTATTGATATTATCATATTAAATTTGACTTATTAAGTACTCAGCTAGATCAAGATACTCAGTGTTAACATTGGTTTTGAACACGGACTCTACTCCCCTTCATTAATTGGTGTCACTGACGAAGTTCAAAGTCGTTGTGTAAAATGGAATATATAGCCAAATTAAAGCAAGTTCTCCAGCATTACGCACGGCAATCTCTTCCCAGTATTTTTTTAAAAGGGAAGTCAAAAATAGAAAGCCTTAAATGTTGACATGCGTTGAGGTAGTGTCGCAGGCCTAACCCGTAGAGTAAAGCCTAGCAGTAAAGTGAAAAAAACTCACCTGCAAAAGAGAGACAATAATACACTAGCACTCCAAAAAAATCAACTTGCAGGGAAATTAGTGGTTGATTCGGCGTAGAAGCAACTCGAACCTCTTATTTGGTCGACCAGTAACGGTGTAGGCTGCTGTGATGATGGGATTGTCAGCTTTCCTGAAGTAGAGTGCAAATGCCTATCAATACACGCAAGTCATATTATGACGACCTCGCTGATCACTGAGTCACGTGACACATTTATAGGCGGTGCTACAGGGCTTCTTCACCACACGGCACATCTTGCCCTAAATTATCATAAAGTAATAAAGATAGGCATCTGAAACATTCGGCTGCCAAAATATCGTTTACTTAGGCGCAATACCTGAGTAACAATTTGCAAGTCACCGTAGAAGTTAAAACTATGCCAGTGACACGCCTACTTCATAATGCCATAGGCCTACTATTAAACTCCGTATTATATATTCCATACAGTTATGGGTTCATGTTACTTAGTGCTAAAATAAATTTCCCAGAACTGACTTTTGGTGTGTAAAGCTGCAGGGTGACGCGGTAATAATGTAAGGTAAATGAACTTCAAATAGTATGACAATATAAACGGATCTGAAGACGGTTTAAGAACATTTTCGGTGGGCGGGGAACCTGTTTGAAGGAGGGCAAAAACTCCACATTTTTTCATGTGACCTTTTACTCGCCTTTGGTGAGAATACATTTAGGGATTTATTTATAAATAGTCCAGAAAACGCCTTTCTCTTCAGTTTTTAATCAGTGGCGTAACTAAAGGAGGGCAAGGGGGCGTGTGCGGCCTCCGCTCGAGGCCTCTTCCAGGTGCCGCCATCCGCACTCAGATGTTAGAGACGGAAAAAAAATGGTGACAGTCTGCCTTCGTCACTGTTTTAGCTGCGTCCGAAACCACTGAGTGCCCGGTCCATTTCCCAATGGCTACACAAGGGGGTCAAAGACTGTATCGGTAAATCACATGCGAGGTTTAACCTCAACTGTAATCAAATCACGTGGGATGAACGCCTTTAGTCGTCACTGACCTGCAATCACTGCAAACATTATACCTATACCTACACACCATCCATAATGAAGTAGCACAGTGCTTTCACATGATCCTCATGAAACGCCAGTTAGCCAAACATACCATTTCTTTCGCCTTCCAAACCTGAGGAGACCACTTTTTATTTGATTATAATATACAGTAACTGATCGACAAGATTGCTCAGTAGATATGACTGACATCGATTGCTAACCTTCAAACCGCAGTTTTGCAAAATCTTGATTTTTCAAAATGTTGGTTCAATTAATTTGTGCCACTTAATGTTTTAATATTAGTTACCATACAAGCGCGGGTGAACATAGAATAATGTTGTGCATCTGTGTCAGAGCTATATAAAAATCTATAGCTCTATGGTCTGTGTCCCGTTTACCACGAGGCCGAAGGCCGGATGATATATACGGGACACAGGCACACTTACATCACGTTCCACAAGCGTGCGTGATAATTAATTTATCTTATAGCAAACTTGAAACGCAGTAAAAATGTCATCCGCTCTGAGCGTGAACAAAGCAGGGCATGTTTTTAAATTAAACTGACAGTCTTTTAATACCATAGACCTCTTCACTAATAAATTCACAGTTATGCACGCATGCGCACAAACGGCCTTGGCGGCGAGAAGCTCGAACGGGCCATTGGAAACATACAGGGTACGACTTCATGATCATTAATTTTCTCTCAGGTTTTCTGACTTTGTTCAGTTTTTCTTCAGAAAATCCCATTAAATTGTTTTGTTATTAGTTTATAATTTAAAGTTGAATTTTTAGTACTCTGTAAAACGATTTTAAAATCGTAATTTTTCCTGTGCGCACAATATCGTCGTTTCTTAGTATGGTCCCTTCCATCAGAAGTAGTTTAATCTACATCGTTAGTGTTCTTGAAGCCAACCAGTGCATTTCTAAAAACACGTGCTGATGTTCAATCTACCTCCATGGTTCAATGTACATGCACAGTGCAAATTTATTGGTCAATGATGATGTCGGGCAAATCATATTTACCATTTGTTGGTCTAAAATATTGAAAGTTGGGCAATTTATTTATTACCCAACTCATATGGACACATGCTAATTTCCTTCTGCCCAGTCATTGGTCAAAAAATAGTCTTTGGTGCTTTTACACAAATATTGGTCATTGCAAAGGTATGTGTTGAGCATTGGAATAAACTTGCTCTCAGGTCTCTTTTTCGCAATGAAGTTTAAACACATTTTTCTACCCACAAATCGTCGTAAATGTTAATCCAGGGTACGGTTGAGATTACTTGTATTTTAGGGGTGATCATAGATTTCATTGATGTTGCATAAATTGGTAAAAGTCGGCGCTTACGTCGCTACCCGTATGACTTGAAACAAGTCTAGTATTAATTTTTGACCAATGCTGTTTAGCAAAGTTCCCTCTGGCATGGCGTGCCCTCGTGCTAAGCATTGTGTGACTGTCAGTATGGAATTCCATATGTGCCGTCGCCCGTCGTGCGTCGCCCGTCAACGGGTTGCATAGGACCTGGGGTGTAACAAATGACAATGTGATGATTCCATTCACGTCTAAGGATCTTTTCCCAATAAGGCAAGTAGAAATCCCCTTGCAAAGCACATACTAGTCCCATAATTAATGCCAATAATGCTAGACTAACCCTGCCCCTTGACAAGAAAATATCGCCTTTCTGAGAATTCAACCAAGTGTTTTTGGGGGAAAAGCATTTCAGCAAAAATGTTCATGCCAACTTATCCACAGTCTAATTCTGATTTGCATGCTGTAAAAATGTGCCGACTTGTTTTCATCAAATTCAATCGAAGAAATCTGCCAACCGATACAAATATTCCATTTTTTCCCTCTCAATTTCGCCTTGAAATCCAGAAATACTAGACAGTGCTGTGGATAACAAACTGTTTATTAAACGTACTGTTGGGGGGTAATTACCACTTGGTTTAAGTTTAATAACATATGATGTGTTGGTTTTTGTGGGTGTGTATGCCATGGTGGATAGACCAATGAGAACAGGTTGTCCAGCATATCAGCATTATTTATGGGGCTAACAAGTAACGTCACTGTTTATAAGACTTCTGTGAGCCTACCTGCAACTCAAGTCATGTCTAATTTGGAGTATACAGCAGATTTCATCATAGGTATACCCGCCCTTAAAATAATGTTAAATCAGTTCGTCTCTTATGAAAAATATTAAGGAATCAAACATTGTACTATTTACTTTCAGTTCTGTGGGATATCGTGCAGGGACAGACAAAAAATATTACATAGGCTATAGACCTAACGTCAAGCCATTAACGAGTAAAGTTACGTCTAGAGTAACTAAGTTATCAAGAAAAACAATATACCCTAACAAAAGTCTATTTTGTTAATTTATTTATGTAACGAAAATGGTATTATTTCATATACACGTCACTTTACCGATGTCAATCTTTAAAAATGAAAGGATAGTATTTCTTCTTACAAGTGGAGTTCGGCGCAACTGCAAAAAGGAATACATATTTTGTTCTACAGCTAAAATGAGAGTCGGGCATGGTGGATCCATCGAACAAGGACATGTACATGCGAAACAATCACGGGTCAAAATTAAAAATACCACTGCGCAAAGCAAAGGCGACGGACGACGGGCGACGGCAGATATGGAATTCCATACTGTCAGACAGACTGTGGTTGTTTTTTCGACTTCACGATAGCGGTCACGGAGTCGACAGAACTCTCAAAACCTCTTCGAATATGAGATCTAGAAAGCATTCTCAGGTAATGTGTTTACTTCGGATGGTGTTTGTAGTTTGTCAGTGTTATTGTTTGTGATGAGAAAACCGTATTGCATTGCTCCACTCTGTTGCCAAATTATTCTACATGCTGCATTGTAATCACATAAGGCCTAATAATTATTGGCCGACTACTTTACTCTTTTGTGCGACGAAATTTTGATGCAGGACTATCCCTACGTATAAGTATTATGAATGCATTTTGTCTGTTCTCGTGGGATATCTGAAATGCACTCCACTTGAAATCCAAGGCCACATTTCTAAAACATCAGATAGGCTAGGCCTACAGAACTCATCAGTACCTTATCACAGTAATGCTATTTGGCGTCAACAAGCGTCAACACATACAACTAGCGTCAACAAAGCGTCAACAACTCGAAAGAACCCTCTAAAGATTTAAAAGTGTTTTTATCATAATTTACAGACTCTAAAACCTGCCACTGTGTAAGAGAAACATCGAATTCGCTTCGAAATTCAAGCAGAAAAACGAAGCTTTTTTTCACCATGTATGGAGGCCGCCATCTTTCTTTTTACTCTACTGTCCGAGCGAAAACAAGATGGTGGCCGGTCGGGCTGCACGAGCAGGCCCAAATTTGCCGCTCAAATTTCCACACTCAAATATCATTTTGGATAACGTGATACATGGAATATGATATGTAGGAGCCTTACTAATATTGTAAATATAAAATATTTGCATAAAAATGCTTGAATATTTTGTTGACGCTTTGTTGACGCTCGTTGGTGCTAAATAGCATGACCCACTTATCATATGCCTTACAAATATACAAGCTAAGCCAGGGCTACATGATGGCAGGCGCAAGTCCAAAACTTGAAAAAAGGTCAACAAAACAAAGCATTATATAGCCATTCAAGACATGGTATCTTTTGGAGTCATGCTTTGACCTCAGTGACGGTTATTCAGAATTATGGTTAATTGCATGTGGGGAATTTATATTACAGGTTTTGCCCTCACCAACCGTACTATACATGTATATGTATACACTGTATTCTCGGTGTTTGTTTGAGCACTGAGCATACAGTGTTTATCTTTATATACTTTGGGTAAGGGCAAAACCGGTTATATATGCAAAAGTAAATCTTGAAAATACATGTGGGCACTGACGAGAAACTGAAAATGGGCTTGCGCTGCCTCAACATTTTTGACTAACAGGAATCATATCATATCTTCCCTTCACTCAATATGTTTCCAACCTGGAATACTTTAAGTATACAGGCTCCTTGAGGAGGTATGTACAGATTTGTAAATTACAGCAAGAGTATACACGTACAATGTACATCACGTCTTAAATCTTCTCTACAGAGAGAAAGGAGTTATATGGAGCATTTAGCACTACATGTAGCCAAATTCCATTGATCTTCCCAAACAG